TTTAATGAAATTTAATGCTTCCATTTGGTGGTTTTAAATCTTATGTTTTTGTTCCCATTTATTTGCCTTGTATCCTGGCATGCCTATAGCTTTATAAAACAGTGGGTATCTCCTCTCTGCACCAATCGGCACACTGGCTGCAGCCCTGGGCTCGAGCCTGGGAACAATTGTGTGGATGGCGCAGGAAAGGGTGTGTGTCCTTTTGTCAGTGGTAGGGCCCCTGTGGGTCAGAACCGACTCGATGGCTCTTAAAAACAACAATAACGATGATATCCCCAAATTATAGGAGGCAGATAAATCAATTAAAAGGGCAGGGGTAGTTCAATGGTAGAAATCTCCCCCAAGCTTAGTTCCTGGCCAGTGCACCTCCTGCACAGCCTCCGCTCATCTGTCAGTGGATGCTCGCATTTTTTTCATGATGTTCAACAGCCTTCAGCAGAGCTTCCTGGTTAAGATGGCAAAGGTGGTGATCATTTCCAACAGTGGTATACAGAACTAATTAGCACTACCCTGAGAACTGCTCCTGTCGGGCCTAGAAAGTATTTAAAGCAAGGCTTAAAAGTAGTAAATTGTTTCCAAGTAACTTCATTGCAACCTAGTACAAAAATTAAGAATCTGCATAAGAATATAAAAATACCCAGAATCCGACTAAGTAAATAGAAAATATCTGGCATTTGATTAAAAATAAGATATTTAAAGAAGCAGGAAACTACTTAACATAATAATTAGGAGATAAACCAAATAAATTGAAACTGTTCAGAAAATGACAGATAGTTGAATTACCAGATATTTAAGTTACATTAAAACCACTATCATAGCTATATGCCATGTGTTTAAACAGTTAAATAGAGGCATAGAGCATAGTTTCAAAAGATCAAAATGAAATTCTTAGAACAGAAAACTATGACATTGAAGATGAAAATTATCATTTATTATTTGAGAAAAAATAATAGCTGAACTTTTCCAAATCTAATGAGAGCTGTAGGCCCAAGGTTCCAAGAAGCTCAGCAAACTTTTTTTCCCCAAACTCAGTAATCGTGAAGGTAGCCAGACCAAAGCACCTTGTAAGTAAACACTCGTAGCAAGCAGTAAAGAGAAACTGAAAAACAATCAGAAGGTGAAAGAAAAGATGTGTTGGACACAGAGGAAAAATTGTGTGGATAACTAGTTTCTTGTCACAAACAATGTAAGCTCCTTGATTGGTGAGTTGCATCTTTAAAGGATTGGCAGGAAAATACCTTTTAAGAATGAAAATAGAGTACATGTTTAAATATCCAGTAGCTGTTCTTGTTGTGATGCTAGTCTGCTCATGAATTCTTTCTAATTCATCATTTAAATAAATACTTCAAGCTGAAGGAAATTGATACCAGATCGGAATACAGAGCAACACAAAGGAATGAACCACACTGAACATAGTAACTACTGTTGAAATGTGTACTATTTTTCCCTCTTCCTCCTATGGGAAGGGAATTGATATTAACCTAATGTACCTAATTACCTAATACCCAACCCCTGGTGTTTTCAGTCACCTCATATGCAAGTGAGAACTGGACATTGTAAAAGGAAGACCGAAATATGAGGAGCTGACACCAAGGGCTCAAGCAGAAAGCAAATGTTTTGAGAATGATGAGGGCAACAAATGTATAAGTGTGCTTGACACAATGGATGGATGGATGGATGTATTGCGATAAGAGTTGTACGAGCCCCCAATAAAATGATTTAAAAAGAATAAAAAGACCCAATACATTTGAATTGTGGTGCTGTGAAGAATATTTAAAGTACCACGGACTGCCAAAACAGCAACAGCAGCAACCTCACTGCCCTCTGACTCATAGTGACCTTATAAGACAGGCTGGTAGTTTCAAACTGCTGACCTTGAGGTTTCCAGCCCAATGTGTAGCCACTACACCACCAGCGCTCTGGACTGGACTGCCAAAAGTTCCAACAACTTGGAAGAAGTGCAGCTAGAACACTTCTTGGAAGCAAGGATTGCTGGTTATTGAACTTCGGATACCTTTTCCCATGGATATCTCATGATCACACAGGCTGGTGTGCTTCTTCCACATGGACTTTATTACTTCCTTGCTGGATGGCCATTAGATTTCAAGCCGTTAAGCCCCCAGACGCTGTATCTTTGAATAGTTGGGCACCATCAGCTTCCTTCACTACATTGGCTTAAGCACTCATTTGGTCTTCAGCAATCATGTCGGAAAGATGAGTTTCCTACACTGCCACCTTATTAAACAAACTGTTCTTATGATGAGGTAGGATATAAGTAGAGGCCCAAACTCTGTTTGTTTTCCTATTATACTTACCCATATATACATACCTAGATAAATACACCTTTCTTTATAGATTTATATCTTTACATATATGCCTATCTATATTTATACCCATATATAATTTTTATTCCCTAGTTCAGCTGTTCTCAACCTGTGAGTCACGACCCCTTTGGGGTCGAACGACCCTTTCACAGGGGTCGCCTGATTCGTAACAGTAGCAAAATTACAATTATGAAGTAGCAGCGACAATAGTGTTATGGTTGGGGGGTCACTACCACGTGAGGAACTGTGTGAAAGGGTCACAGCATGAGGAAGGTGGAGAACCACTGCCCTGGTTATTTCCTCTGTTTCTTTTTCCTTTCCTCCTGCCCTACTATCATGCTTACCCCTCATTCACCTCTCGGTAATTCCTCTCGACACATTACAATTGATCGAACACCCCCAGGGTCACCACACCCTCCTGACTGTCAATTTTGGATCCCTTGCTAGTCACCTGACCCTGATGTAATTGGCTCACCGCTCCCCTCTGCCCATCTCCTATTCTCCCAGTCTCCCCACCCCCACCGGTCCCATTGCCGTCTCCTTGGGATTGCTTACCCTGTCAATCTTATGTAGATAGACATGAACAAAATAATAAATAATTTTTTAAAGAAAGAAAAAACATGTAAATAGTTCCAGGTCTAACTGCGGACCTTTGTGACTATCCCCCGACCAGTCCAGATGAGGTGCCAAGAGCTGCGCCCCGCTCCCGGATCAGAGGTCTGCTTTCAGGGCTTGTGAATTTATTCCCATGGTTGTTCGCTTGTCCTCCCCTCTTGGTTTGCCGCCCTGTTGGTAGGCCGGACCGGCTGCCCTCCGCACAGTACATCGTCAGTGCTGTCCTCTCTGTGTCCGACTGTGATCTAGGGAGGAGCGTCATGTCCAGATCTGGGCCTGTCCCTGCAGTCCGCCCGGGAGCTAGCTGCTTTAGGCTGGGCAGAACATCATGCTGCAGGCTTGGTGCGCCACGGTCAGGGTACTTGCTCGCTCTCTCTTAACCTCTTCGTTTGTTCCCAGTTATCCCTTTATAGAGAAAAACTATTTGTTTTTTTGTTTTATTTGTTTTATTTTTCCCCCTAGAGGAACAGTTCACAATATGCCTGTTCTCTACTGAAATGTATTAGATAATTTAGGAATGTTATTGTTTTAGTAACTTAAAACTTCAGACATTTTTGTTATGTGCTGAATGCTACCTAAGAAATTAGAAAAGCTTACTTTGGACATTAATTCTGACGGTGATGTTTTACTCCCCATATTGGTGATAGTTTTCACTCTTTCTAGGTAGAGTTGTTGGGCATTGGCTCCACGGGGACAAAGCAACAATTCTTTTCATAATCTTGTTTGAAGAAGAAGCCATGTTTTAAGGATATTAAAATTTTCATCTTCGTTTAAGTAGTCAGAAAAGTTAAAAGATCGGTGGTTTGCTTGTGCTGTAGTGGATTTTATTTCCTGGCTGTTCAGAACAAGCCACAGCTGCGTGGTGTTGGTGCTGGATTGGATACAAGCCTCTAGCTATTTCATTCCTCCTATGTTGTGTATGGATGCCATTGATAACGCCTTTGAAAGTATTCTTGGTAAATCAAACTGCTAATTTTATAGTGAGTATAATTCTGGTGTTGAACTCTGTTACAGACTTATTGATCTCCCCATGTTTTAAAGCAGAAAGCAAAAATGACTTGCCTTTCTTATAACCGTATTTTATTGTCCATGGTACATTTTTTTCAGTTCTTAAAGCCTGATTCATTTAAAAAAAGAAAGAAAGAAAGCAAAATATGAAGTTTAAGAATAATTCAAAAATGTTGGGCCACAGCAGAGCAGGCCTTTTATATGTGGGTTTCATGACGCTCTACTCTATTGCAGTATGTGCAGGTGCTACCATTCCATGTGCTGCACATTTCCAGGTGCTGTTGGGCTGGCAGGACCTCCTCTTCATCTCTGGCTTGTGATACCAGGGAGGCATGTGGCAACCATAGAGCACAGTGTACAATCCATGGTTATCACCCACCAACTCCCACAGACAATCGTGGATCCAGGTGACCGGCTAAAGGAACACTCTGCTAGCCTGGCACCAAGGACCCGTGCTTTGCAGAAGGTGCTTCATTTTGGCGGAGAGCCTCCCTACTGTTCGCATCACCTGCAGCTTCGCAGAGCACAGGCCTTGCTAAGGGAGAGGCGGACTAGAGCAGAGGTTCATAAATAAGAGCCATGTGGCTTTAACGTGATGACACCGGCCAGGAGAAGACCGGCTCAGTAAACCTGATGCATATTGAGTGTTTCTCTGCCTTATAGTCACCGAAGTCCCAACCAGTGTCACAGTGATGGCATGGATCAGCTCACCAGCACTTTTGAACACCGTGTGTCAGGGGTAAAATGTGGAGCCTGTGTTTGGGGAACGTTGACGAAGCCATGGCTGTGTTCTCCTTTCCCTGGAGTAGACGTGGAAGACCTAACACCATTCTTTAGAGCAGATGCCACTGAACCCATTCTAACTCGGGATAGCCCTGGGTATGTCCCAGGAGGATTGCACACCACAGGGTTTTCACGGGCTGATTTCTCTGACGTGAATAGCCAGGCCTTCCTGCGGAGGTGCTTCTGTATTAAAACATTGTCTACGCTAAAATTGAACCCTTAAAATCCTTTAACCACGGTCTCTTTGGCCTTTCTTTTTTCTACTTGCAGATGCACGTGGCTCTCCTGAGGTTCTGAATCACTCTGTGGGGGTGTCGGAGGGCCCCCCCGCACCCAAATCCACAGTGCTTTGGGCCGACATGCCAACCACACCTTCCTTGCAGCAAAATTTTGCAACTTCCTGCACAATTTCAAACAACAACCCTATGCAGAGGAGAGAGAGGTAAACTTAACACATAACGCCTCTGAAAGGCCCAGGGTCTTGGCTGGGACAACAGGAATATGGGAAGCTTGCTGTCCTAATGAGCTTTGTGAATTGAAAGAAGTGACTCTCCTGAAAACATAATGCATACAAAGGGAAGCAGAGTGCTGTGGGGATAAGCCTGGCCGTAGAGTCTTTGTGTCAGTTGGAAAATGAGGAATGTCGGCTGAGCAGCTGAAGTGATTGGGACTTTGAATGTTAAAGACGGGATCCCTAAAAATTTTGCCTGACCATATAAGCTCTGCTGAGGTTGGAAAGGGAGCTTGTGGTGGGGTGAGGCAAGGCCTTTTTGCCAGGAGCACTGTGGATTGGTATCCTGGTTGTGGGGGAGGGCGGGGGAGTATGTTGGGCGTGGCCAGAGGATGCTGGCTCACAGGCACATACCATATGTGCTAGAATCTGAGCAAGCATAGGAACACAGAGGAAATAACATAGAAAGTATAGGGACAGCAGTTTCTGTGGGAATGGGAGGCAGAAGGGAAATGACTATGGACCGCAAGGAACTTCCTGTTTGTTTTACAAAAAGACTGCTTTTGAGCAATTCCTATGTGAGGCCACCCCCTTCCCCAGAGGAGGAATTCTTCTCGTTGTGTCTATGAGCATATTACCGCCCGAGGTTCTCATATATTATTCTTGAAGAGTCAGCTGTAAGGGTGTCCAGGAGTGTTTGCTAATGAAGATGGGTGTATGTGTACATTACTTGGTGTCTTTCTGTATTCCTTAATGTATGGTGATCTCTGGTGTCATTGATGATGTGCCATCACTAGCGATTTTTCCCAGCAAGCATCTGTTGAAACCTGACTGTGCCTCAGGCAATCATGTTCGGCACCAAGGAGAGAGGAAGAGATCAGGAAGATAAGGTGTCTGCCTAGATGGGCATTCTTCCTGAGAGGAAAGGCAGCCAAATAGTAAGAAAATGGCCTACCACGGTGACGATGCCATCGTTGAAATTTGCACCCAGAATTGGGGACAGTCTCGTCACAGATGCATATGGAGACTGGGGTGCTGGGTAAAGGGCTGCAAGGGGGTGAGAGGTGGAGACCTGTTTGGACTTTGTCTTCGAGAAAGAGGGGACTGTTGTCAGGAGAAGCAAAGCGGGAGTTCATGAGCAGATGGGGAGGCTGGACTGGGGTGGGTGGTCCCCAGGATTGGGGGAGCGAGGTGGAAAGGAAGGGTGGAAGAGCTGGCAGAGTGGAGTCAGCAAGGGCCTAGGATGTGAACTCCTCAAAGAGGTATTTTCACGTCAGTCTGTAGAGAGTCAGTGTACATCGTTTGTTATTTGGAGAAGTTCTTCATGTTAAAAAGAGGGTCCTTGTTCCCCAGGACTCCCCCTTCCCATCCTCCCCACCCTGGGCAACAGTCCCTTATTTTTGAGGTGTCTCATAGACCTTACTTTCTCCTTTGATTTGCTTCTCTTCCTTATAGTTCGTCCTCTACAGAACGCCAGTGGTTGGAGACGAGCCCCAAACCCATGCTTTCCATGTTGGGGAGCAGCCGGCCAGCAGGGGGTCTCCTTGGCACCTCAGAGTTCTCCGGCCTCATGAAGGACTCTCCAGTGCTGTCCCATTTCCAGCCTTCAGAGCTCCAGGGCTCTTTCAGCAGCCACGAGCTCCCCCTGCCCGAGCCATCAACAGAAACTTTGGCTGCCCAGGGCGGCCCAACCTTCCTGAACTTCAGTCGAGTTGCTGTGGGCAGCACCCTTCCACCTGGGGAGACCCCAGGGTCCCTGCTGGCCAATTCCCATGAAGCATCCCCGATCCCTAGTGCTCCGCTGCCCACAGCAGGTATCGTTGACAATGGCTTCCTGCCCCATCACTTCCTCACAGTGGCACCTGGACACAGTGGCCAGCACAGCCCAGTCCTGCACGGCCAAGGGATGACCCTGCCTGGGCAGCCACCCCTTCCTGAGAAGAAGCGTGCCTCGGAGGGAGATCACTCATTTGGTTCCGCCTCCCCATCCTCCAGTGGTTTCTCCAGCCCCCACAGTGGGAGTACCATCAGCATCCCCTTCCCAAATGTCCTTCCAGACTTCTCCAAAGCTTCAGAAGCAACAACCCCTTTACCAGGTAGGTGTGCCTCCTTATATGGAGAAGGAGCTGTTCCTGTGTGTACTTGCTCAGAGAAGGGCCTGGGGATTGATATACTAAACTGGAAGACAAGCTACCACAAGAGCACCATCTCTGCTTCTGGGTTGGTTGCCATGAAAGGAAAAATCTGAACTGTCAAGGGACTCAGGGAATGTTTGGATAAATTCCACCTTTGTCATCTTGCTAGCCTACAAGCTAAAGATTGGCTTATTGCTTCTTATTAATCCATCTTGATTCTGCATTTACCCAAGTTGGAGCCATTCTCACATTCGAGCCTTCAAACATTGCCAAGGGCTCTAGTTTTTCTTCCTATGAATAGCAAATATGGAGTGTTTCAAATATGTAAGAAAAGTAAGATATAAATACCGATTGAGCATCAACCTAGCTCTTTTTGCTTCGTAGCCAAGGGCACATTGAATTTTATTGCAGTTCTAATCAAAGTGTCATGTTGTATTTGTTTACGTTATTAAAATAATCTCTACTTACGTCAAGGCAGTCATTTCAGTCACAGCATAATTTCTTCTTTTACAGTACGCAGCCCTTATTCCAGCGATTGCCCTTTGAACTTGTAGGTTAGCCAGAGGTGAGAGGTTATCCTAAAGAACACCTTCCAAGTTACTCCTTTCAAATTGTGTTTTGCAGATAATCCAGGTGATAAGCATGTGACAGTGAAGTTTGTCCAAGACACATCCAAGTTCTGGTACAAGCCGGATATTTCACGGGAGCAAGGTAGGTCAGGAAATCTGGTTTCCCTGTATATGCATCATGCGGAGAACTTGTGAGTCAGGATCCTGAGAACCACCCCTTCAGTGGCGATTGAATTAGAGCAAGGTCTACACTTAACGACATGCCTTGTGGGAACCACCCCATGCTAACGAGAGCACTGAGGAGGAAACGAGGCGCAGCCCTAAGATTCCAGTCTGTGGTGTGTCATTTTTTGGCTGCTTGCACTTGCCAGTAGCCTTGCCAGCTCTGCCACTGTACAGTTTCTGATCCTGCACTGCTGTGGGTATCTGCCATGCTCCGCCACATAGGACAGGCTTCGAAAGGAAGAGGAGACCTCTCTCTCTGAACTGGCCTGCTGTGTGAAAGTCAGTGACCTCGTTGCATGTACTCATTTTCATTTAGTTCCAAGGTAGAAGATAGATGCATAATAGTAATAAGATGTAGAGGTATCACGTTCTGACTCAGCGGTTCTCAACCTGTGTGTTGCGACCCCTTTGGGAGTCGAATGACCCTTTCACAGGCATCGCCCAATTCATAACAGTAGCAAAATGACAGTTATGAAGTAGCAACGAAAATAATTTTCTGGTTGGGGGGTGACCACAACATGAGGAACTGTATTAAAGGGTCGCGGCATTAGGCAGGTTGAGAATCTCTGTGATAGTTACTTCCACATGGGTGAGCCTTGGAAACATTAGGTTAAGTGAAATGAGCCAGGCATTCAAGGACAGGTGTTACATGGTCCCACTCAGCCAAATAACTGTGCTAGGCAAATGCATCAAGGCAAAACAAGACGAGTGGCTACCTTGGGATGAGGGATGATAATAATACCTGATTGCAAAATTCGTCTAATGATGCAAGTGGAAACTAGACGGATGATCTGTGTGTTTGGCACAGCTGAAATATATATTAATTATCAATATTTTCTTGCATCTAGTTCTCATGGCACTTTCTACCCAAATTTTACTGAAAGGGAAGTTGATAATCTGTTCAGGCAGCCTCTTGAGGGACCAGTATTTATCTGTGCTGATCTTTGTCCCAGTAGTTTACATTCCCCATTCGAGGGTGTGATATAGCGCGGGATTGGCCTCCATGAGAGGCTTTGAGGGCAAGTGGAGCTCCCTGTTCCTGGGCTTACCTCCGAGTGAAGGATGTGGAAGATGGGCCTGGTCCCTCAGGAACGACACTCATGCCTTGGGCTCTGTGTGGCTATGGGGTAGAAGACAGGGGGGTATGATTAAAGCGGTGAGGATGGACAAGTTGCTGCGCCAGTTTGTGACTACACTGGGCCCCATTATTCTAACTTCAGGAGGAAAATCCGACAAACCATCTCTTTATGACTGTCTCAGAAATGCTTAAAATGAAAGGTTGAGTGGCTGAAAAACAGCACTGTCAAATTTTCTCATTGCTATTCGTCTACTCAATTCTGTAGATAATACTTGTAAGAATGTACCATTTTTTCCAGGCACTCAACGAGGCTATTGTTTTTAAATGGGCAGAAAGGGAGTGGGCGATGTCCTGGAAAGACTTAGTATCCTGAATCGGTCTTTTGTGAAAATGTTATTCCCCATTTTCCCCAAGTTTTGTGGGTCCTGGTGTGGATAGAGGCTGTTTTCGTGTGGCCACCATTCAGTCCTTTGCTGTAGTCACAGGGCGCCCAATCTTTATTGAAAACAGGAACAATCGCACCCAACAGGGCCACCCATGCAGATCCCACAGGGCTTGGCGAGGCCGTGTGGACAAGACAGCACTCATAACCGGACAGTCCTTTCTCCCCCTTCTCAGCCAGTCCCCTCCATGTTACTCCTTCACCAGAGGAATCGAACTGCAGCCCTCACACGGAGTCAGTGGAAGAGGATCTCTTCGGCTCCCAAATGGAGATAGCCTTTGCCTAGCACTGCGGATATTCACTTATTTCTCTCTCGCCCCTCTAGCCATTGCCATGCTGAAGGACAAGGAGCCAGGGTCGTTCATCGTGCGGGACAGCCATTCCTTCCGCGGAGCCTATGGACTAGCCATGAAGGTGGCAACTCCTCCACCTTCGGTCTTGCAGCTGAACAAGAAAGGTAGCTTGTGGGCCCCCGGCCTTATAACCTCAGTGCCTTGGCGTGTCAGTTGTTGGTTTGTATGCTGCACATCTGTAGCTGCCCTGAAGTCCAGCAGAACCTGAGTACCAGGGTTGGTGTGGTCACTCATGTGGTCTGATAGTGTTCCAAGAAAATCTTCTCTCACCTATATCTTTGAACTGTGAGATCCAAATGCCAGATCCAGAATGGGGGAGGGCAGGTGGTATGCGAAAAGACAACACTTGATTCCCAGAAGTCTTGTCTTCAAATATCTTGTATCTTGTTACCATGAACTTTATATCTCTTGTAGCTTGGAAACCATGGAGAGTTTTCCTCCCGTATGAATGGTGCTTTCCCCCTTCCACCCCCTTCCCTCATTTTTTATTTAATATAGTCTTTAGATTATCAGACCATTTCCTTTTTCTGTAGTCTAAACGCAGGTATTTACTCTTCATTTTTGTCTCTGTTATTTACAAATATCGTTTTGAACCCCCTCTGGGCCAGATGCTGAAAGCAACTCACCTCTAGTGGGCCTTGACGTTGGAAGTAGGAAACCCAAACTCAGCAGATGAATACACAGGAAGAAAGTATATGAAATATGAATTCCTGGTGCCGCTAGGGTCCAAGCATTTCTCGTTCTTCTGTATATGTCAATATTACTTTTTTAGACATTACTGTGCTGGTATGAATAAACAGATCCTACTTCGTGATAATATGGAAGGATGTTTCTGCTTATATAACTGAGTATAAGGGACGGAATTACCAGAAGGCTTGAATCCTTCCTGTTCTTTCAATGGATCGCTCTTAATTATCCCTTTATGTTCAATTTCTTTCTACCTCTCGGAGCTTTTATAGGGGCAGTGGGAGCATTCTCACCCTCCATACGGGAGACCCAGATTCAATTCCTAGCCAATGCACCTGATGCATAACCTCTATGTGCCTCTCACTTAAGGCATGTGTGTTGCTATGATGTGGAACTGGCTTCCGCTGAGCTTTTAGACTAAGAGAGAGTGGGAAGAAAAGCCTAAGGATCTGTTTCTTAACATCAGCCATTGAAAACCCTGTGGCTCCTAGTGGCTCCGTCTGCAGCTAGCCATGAGGATGGGGTGGACCAGGCAGACTCATACCGGTGGACATGGGATCGCTGTGAGCTGGGAACTGTACTAATAGCAGCTAACACTATGAGAACTAGAGACCGATATTTTTATCATCTTCACTTGGCTGAGCTCTAGTGGGAAAGTGTGGAGCACGTGCTCAGTGCACTGCCACTCGCAGCATCTCCCCTGCTGGGATCCTAGCTGCGTACCCACCCACTGTGTTCCCCCAGCCATCCTGCCAATGACTCCCATTTTTAGACGAGTATCGTCAACCCACCTGCTCCAGTCACCAGGCTGAGGGAGGGGTACTTGCTCATGTACAACTCATTGCTGACATTGCTTGTCTGGCATACACTTGCTCTCAATTCCTCATAGTGTCTTTCTTTAATTGCTGGTGCTGTTCTTTTATAATCTCTCAACACAGCTGGAGACTTGGCCAACGAACTCGTTCGTCACTTTTTGATTGAGTGTACCCCGAAGGGAGTGCGGTTGAAAGGGTGCCCGAATGAACCGTACTTTGGTAAGTGGCCTGAGAGTTGTCCTCGGTGCTCTGAACAATTAGGTGCAGCCTCTTGCTTCCTCTGACAGGTCAATGATCCTTCCGTATGGGGTTTTAGTCATGACAGTTCAATTCTGTCACCAATGCTGAGATGTCTCTGACCTAAATATTACCTTTAAAGTAAATTAGAGTCCATTTTTTTTCTCAAAAGCTTTCTAAGAAATACATATTTCGATGACCCAGGGTTAAGGGTGATAGAAACAGCGAGGAATAGACTGGGTTTTGGTTGTACAGCATAAACAGAAGTTATCATCACTGAACTATGTATGTATCTAACCTATATATGAAGAAAATGGAATAGCGTTGGGCCTGGTATGATTTTCAACATTTTCTGTGTTGTTTGTTTGTTTGTTTCTCTTTTTCTTCATATTGGGGTTTAATACTGATGTACTTTTGTCATAGCCCTTTTGAATTTCTATAATATGTGTTTCGGTGTATGAAACCCGGGATTGATGAACCTACAGAGACAAGAAGGAGAATTAGGGTTCCTGGGGCGGGGGATGGGGTATGTTGGGAGGGGAGGGGCAGGTAAGGGAGAGATGATATCCAGGAGTTTGGGTGAGGGGTTGAAACTGATTGTGGTAGCCATTGTACAATATTGCTTGATGTGATTGAACTATGGAATGATAGGATGTCTGTATTACCTCCCATTAAAAAGGGTTTTTTGGGGGAAAACAAGAAATGTAAAGATTTTCAGGTATTAGAATTGCTATTTTTATTTCAAACTAAAGTAAAAGAGACAATCCCTGGAATAGTTAATGGAGATAAACGATTTCAATGTTAAAATTGTATTTAAACAGGCAGGAAAAAAAGAAAGAAAGAAAATTGAATGGCCAATCTTTTGTTAGATTTACCAAACCAAACAAACCCACTGCCCTCCATTCGATTCTAACTCATAGGGAACTTCTATAGCAGCGGTTCTCAACCTGTGGGTTGTGACCCCTTTGGGGGTCGAACATCCCATTCACAGGGGTCACCTGATTTATTAACACTAGCAAAATTGCAGTTAGAAGTAGCAATGAAAATAATTTTATGGTTGGAGGTCACCACAGCATGAGGAACTGTATGAAAGGAACTGTATGAAAGCATGAGGAAGGTTGAGAACCACGGCTCTAGAGGAGTCCTCCAACTGCGAATCTCTCGGGACAGCCAGTCTCCACTTTCTCCTGCAGGACTGGTGGGTTTGAACTGCTAACCACAAATGACAGTGCCAATTTAAACAACAGGAAGTGGGTGGGGAGCAAAACCCAAAAAATATCATTCTTATTGTCTATTTAAGTTGTGCAGACAGCAGTGTACCAGCTGGAGGCACGCAACAGAGCCTGGGTAGGTCAAGGTTAGAGTCTGAGCTCCCAGGCTTATAGGAAAGGCAAAATGATTAACCCTGTGGACAAGAAGCAATGCCGCCATTACAGGCCTTTTAGAATACAATTAGCGTGTTGTGTATGTTTGGAGTTGGAGTTGTAAACCTCCCGGTTTCAGATTCAGTAAACTGCTGTGTTTATTTCTTATAATTTGGTAACTATGTAAATATGCTAAGGATTAACTGTCATTCCCTTTACTTTTCCACTGTTTTTTTAAACTTTCCACTTTATTGAAGTTAAGCCCAAAGTAGACTTTATTGAAACTTAAATTACTGCAAATGTAAGGACTCACCCTGTACAGCAATTTCATTTTAGCTGAGCAAAACGGTATTTACTGCCTTCTCATTCGCTGGCCCTACAGACAGTTGGGAACGTTGGCCTACAGCAGGATAGGGAGGTAGGGGCCTCTTTGCTAAGGGCAAGGTGCTAGCTGAAGTGCTCTGGATTAGTGGTGGCAGGACTGGGGAACAGCTGTCAGAGGGTCTTTCCTTGAGAGAGCTTTAAAGGGCCCCGGAGTCACTCACCGAGACTGTGCTTCCTGTACCTTCTGGAGGGAGCTCCCTGGAAGTGGAAGGTTTTCCAATTAAGAGACGTGTCTTAGGAGTCCAGATTCTACTGATAGCAGTTTGACTTGCGTCTAGCCAGACGTGGTGGTGGAAACAGTACTTTACAGATAATGTGCAAGAAGGGATCCCTTCATTAAGCTATGTTGAGGTCTTAGGCCTGCTGTCCTCTCTGTGTGTGTGTGTGTGTGTGTGTGTGTGTGTGTGTGTGTGAGAGAGAGAGAGAGAGAGAGAGAGAGGGCTACAAGTGGAAGGAAACCAGTCAACTGGTGACTTATATTTAACTACAGAGAGAGAGAGAGCTACAAATGGAAGGAAACCAGTTAACTGGTGACTTATATTTAACTACAGAAGTGAGTTATACATTTATATTACTTATCCCTCAAGGTTGTCTTTGGTAGTATTTTTACAGAAAAATTCAGACAGAACATTTTCGCTAAGAACAAGATACTTAAAATACTTTTCATTGTTCCTTTAATTATGTCCTCTTTTTCATCATCTTGTCTGTATGTAAAGTATAATTTTTAATAAAATAGTATTTCTAAAGTTCTTACCATAACACAATGCAATGGCCCAACCAATTCTTTGGTGCTCTGTTGTACACTTTAAGCAAAATGACTACAACACTGAATGCATATAAACCATCTTATAGCATCCAGAGCCTCTCACAGAGCCTCTCTAATCAACCCTGTGTAACCACGTGTAAGTGGTTGCCAGTAGAGCTGTCTGACTCACCAACCTGAGAGTTCACATTGGCGGGTTTCAAACAACTGGTGCACATGGGAAGGGCCCTCTCCTGATAAGGGAGGGCCAGGAGAGTGGATCTGCATGGTGCGTCTAGGTCTTCCTCTTCTGAAGTAGCAAATGGACAGTGGGCTTACGGCACACCCGCAGATACTGCTCAAGGGACGGCTCCAGTGCTCTGGTGCGAGGAGAAGGCTGTATTTTCTTCAAGGCCATCTCCTCCAAGCATGTCATAGGGCACTGTGAACCATGGTCCTCTAATGTCAGCGTGAATAGGACAGACCCTTGTAGCTCTTTTCCCCACAGAGCATCACGGTGCACCTGTGCTGCGGGCACAGGCTCTAGAAAAGACCTTGGAATCTTCTATCCCTCTCTTTTGATGTCGTCACCCCTCTCAAGATGACCTAAGCAAACATCGCCGTTGTGCTGGTATTTACCTTGCTCATTGGTTAAAAACACCCAGCTAAGAAGAGGGTATCAAAGAAGAGGTATCAAAGAAGAGGGTATCAAAGAAGAGGGCATCAAAGAAGAGGGCATCAAAGAAGAGGGAATCAAAGAAGAGGGTATCAAAGAAGAGGGCATCAAAGAAGAGGTATCAAAGAGGAGGGTATCAAAGAACAGTGATGTCCGCATGGAGCTTGGTATTTGTTTGCAACACTGATAGTCATACCGCAATTGTTGAACGCGGTTCATTCCAAATTCATGGTTTAACAGCAGAAACTTGTAGAACTGGACATTTTTTTCCCATAAGAAATAATGGATAACCAAACAATTGGTTCTGAGGCCCCAAAATTACACTTATAAATTCACCGTGGAGGCATTTAGCCTTCTGGAACATCACTGCCTCCAAGAAGCTAATGGTTCACAGTTTCACACCTTTTGCTACATTCGCCGCTTTAATCACATTTTTCTTTTTTTTCTCCCCCCGCCCCCCGACATTTTTCTTTTTCAATGTTGATAATGTTTCCTTAGCCTTGTTGTATTCAGCTGCCAAGCCAGACAAGTGACGACCTGATTCAAGTTTCTCAATGAATTCGTCATGAGCTCTCTCGTGGGTCTCACGGCTGTCCTCCCAGCTTTACTGCTGCTCTCACTCACTTTCTTTGGAGCCATGGTTTTGATATTTTATGCAAATAAAGCCAGAAAAAGCATCATGACACATATTTTGACACACTGACACAAGCACCATACGTTGTTTGAGCGAGAGCGGAGCTTAGACTGAAGTGCCGCCCATTTGTGTCTGAGGTGAGATGTGGCCCATGCCTCACGCTCGGCCTGTATAGTTTTTCAAATTGGGTTTTCAGTTCGACTGTTGAGCAGAGTTATGAACACTGAACTGATTGTTTTCCTTTCTTTTAACTTTGCTGTTTGAGTAGTGGAAAGTTCGAACTTGAAGCCATTGGACAACCAAGGAATCATGGTACTTTTTATGATGCAAGATCAGGGCTATTGCTCACTCTTTTCTGATTCCTTCCTTCTGCAGGAAGCCTGACAGCCCTGGTGTATCAACATTCAATCACCCCTTTGGCCTTGCCCTGCAAGCTGCTCATTCCAGACAGAGGTAAGGATGTCAAGACACTATGGTTCCTTTAACTCTGTACAAAACTGTCCACAGTTGCCAAGAGCACACAAGTTCATGGGCTCCTAAAAAATCCATTAAAAAAAATCGAACTTGAGGGTTTTTTTCCCTGCTCTGTACGTTGTGGTAATGCCAAGAAACAGTAGAATGTTGATCCGAGTGAAGGAGCACAGAAGGTTCCACTGTTGGCAAGCGTCCCCAATCTCCTCAGTATATCATGGGCTTTCGTGGAAAATTATCTGTGAGTCAACAGCCTAAGGAAAAAGATGACCTTGGTCCTAAGAGACCTCCAAGGTCACTTTCATGTTAATGTTTATAATTCGACAAAATGTTAATCTTTAACCTAGGTGCTAGGGGAACTATTCGCTTTACTGCTTGTTTGAAAATGTCTGTAATAAAAATTTTGACTATATTCATGGAAGTCAAAAGTATTGCTACAACATCCTAGAAAGGTTTGTTTAAAATATCAAAAAGGAATGTTTCTTAATGCATTGTCCAGTTCGATTAGTGGTTCTCAACCTTCCTAATGCCGCGACCCTTTAATACAGTTCCTCATGTTGTGGCGACCCCCGCCCCAACCTTAAAATTATTTTCATGCTACTTCATAACTGTAATTTTGCTACTGTTATAAATTGGGCGACCCCTGTGAAAGGGTCGTTCAACCCCTAAAGGGGTCGCGACCCACAGGTTGAGAACAGCTGGTTTAGATGGATATGTTTCTGAAGGCAGTATTTCTATCTCTTTAATCCTTCCCCAGGTAATTTTGTGCACTTTGATGCACACCATGTCAGGTTTAGCATCCAGGAGGGACTCAAAATTGTGCACCATTTCAATGTTCTTTGAATTTTGAAACAGAAAGAAGTCTGAGTAGGGCAAGATGAGAGCTATTGGGTAGATGGGGTAAGGTTGACACAGTGGCTGCAACAGCGGGCTCAGACATAGGGCTAACTGTGAGCAGGGTGCAGGACCGGGCAGTGCTTCGTTCTGTTGTGCACAGGGCCACTCTGGGTGGAACCCACTTGATGGCCCCTAACAACAACACAGGCTACTCCCATTGCTTGAATGGTGGTTTTCTAACTCTTGGTCTTTGCACATTTTATGATATAATATTTAACCACTTCTTCTCGAGCTGCCCTTTGAAATGTTCAATGTATCTCCCCGACTTCATATTTTCTTCCATTTGCTTTAGCTACTCTCTGATGTAAGAGCAAGGTCCAGAATCTTTCCTGACATCCACTTTGATCTTTTCTTGTCTGTTTAATGGCCGTTTCCTTTCTTCGTGAATGATGTCTTTGATGCCCTCCCACAGCGCATTAGATCTTCTGTCATTGATGTTGACTGAGTCAAAGCTATTTTTGAGATGTTCTTGAAATTCGGGCAGAATAGACTCAGGATCCTATTTTGGCTCCAGTGGGCTTGTTTCTGTTTCTTCAGCTTACATGTGAGCAATACTGATGATTGCTCATGTGTTAGCTGCCTAGTGTTAGCTGCTGTTACTGAGCTTCTCCATCGTCTCTGTCTACAGATGAAGTCAGTGTGATTTCTGTGTATTCTCTCTGGAGAAGCCCAAGTGTCTGGTACCCTTTATGCTGTTGAAAAATAGTATTTGCTATGAAGAAATGTTGTCGGTCTTGCAAAATTCTATCATGAGCTCTCCGGTCACCAAGAACATGATTCCAACTACTATTCTTTTCTTTTTATTTCCAGCTTTTGCAGTCCAACCTCCAATAATTATCCGTGCATCTTAATTGCATGTTTGCTCAATTTCAGACTGAAGATGTTGGTAGAACTCTTCAGTTTCTTCATCACTAGCCATTGTGGTTGGTGCATAAATTTGAATACTAGTTGTATTTTTTGGATTTCCTTGAAGGCAGATAGATATAATCCTATCGCAGACAGCATTGTACTTCAAGACCGAATTTGAAATGTCCTTTTGAGAATAAATGGCATACCAGTCCTCTTGATTGCGCTATTCTCTGCATAATTTTCTGATTCACCCTGGCCAATGCCTGTCCATTTCAGCTCACTAATGCCTAGCAGATCCATCTTTGTCCTTTTCACTTTTGATGACTTCCAACTTTCCTCTGGAATCTAGAAAAGCCAAGGAAATTGATCTCTTTTCGATCCTTCAGAAAGGAATGCCGCCCTGCCCACCCCCTGATTTTAGCGCCGTGAGAGTCACTTAGGACTGCTGCCCTCTGGGCCTGCACAAGGGTAAATTTGCATCATATTAGCCACTGAGGGTATGGTCATTGTTCTTGTTCTTTACCTGTTGAGCAAGTGCATCGTTGTTACAGAAATTTTCTATTTTCTTAAAGTTGGCTCATGATAAAACCATGTAGTTGTCATGTGTCTTCTGGAAAAACGCTGTTCAGATGATCCCTTTAGAGTCCCCAAACACAGTCGCCATAACCCCCAGAGCTGACCATTCTGCTTTGAATTGTACTGGCCAGCAGGTCTCCTCCGAGGCTACTATTTTTATCGACCCTATTTTTTTATACCGTATGACTGCGAGAGCTTTTCTACAGCCCACCCACGGATCACTGAGACATGTTCCGACACGTTTCGTCTGGAATAAGCCTGTGCGTGTAGGAGCTGGAACTTGTTAATATACCCTCATATTTCCCCCGCCCTTCCTGAGTAGGCCCAATTACCGTAATTTTATTATTTTCTACTGCAGTAATCAATTTAAAATATGAGTAAATGTGACTTGCACTGATTTTTAAACGTTGGAAGATTCTCTTGGGGAAATGATATAAATTCCATAGAATTTACAGTCTCACTTTGAAGAAAAACAGGGAGGACGTGTGCAACTGTGCGTCCTATGACCTCTGAACTTATGTGAACAATTAATGCACTTTCAAAGGTATGTCAGTGTGTAGCAATTCGGTTGTAATAGTGTCTAACTTCTTTGTCAGTGAACAGGCTCATCTCTACCTTCTTGTTCTTCCCTGCAGATCCATTGGAGGAAGGAGCAGAAACCTCCCCACCACCAGCTGCCAGCTCAGCAGCTGAGCTGTTGAAACAGGGGGCAGGTCAGTAGACGCAGCTTTATCTTCCATGTCTACTGTCGTTATTAGCACCAAACAGTCTGCAGAAAATCATTTTCATCGTAGAATGTTCTTTGGTATTTTCATCACCCAGGTGTCTCACAACGGTGTCCTTTCTTTCCTCTGTGTTTGAAGGAGGCTTCCTCTTACAGATAGATCCCACAGTCCTGGGTGAAGTGGTTAACTGTCAGGTGACAGAACCCAGACAAATCTAACAAGACACAGTTCAGTGCCATGCATATCAGGTCCTGTACTTAGTTTAAATGTAATGGCACAGAAAATGGATGACCTAATTATAAATCTGACTATGTTCAAGAGATGGGACTCAACAAATCACTCACCATAAGTCAACAGTTTGATCCACACTACCGGCAACACGGGTGGCATAGTGTTACACCGTCCTCTGCTAGCCACCAGGTCAGCCATTTGGAACCACAAGTCGTTCTGCGGGAGAAAGAGGAGGTCTGCTATTCCCATAAAGATTTACAGCAGTGTTTCCCAAAGTGGGCACCACCACCCACTGGGAGGCCCTGGAGTGATGGGTGGAGAGTAGGGGAGAACTGAAAGAGCAGATACCTACATTTTATCCTGGATTATGAGCTAGAGTACAAAAGTCTTTAATGGTCAGGGAGGCACCCAGTAATTTTTATTTCTTTGAAAAGGGGGTGGTAGGCCAAATAAGTTTAGGAACGTGTGATTTACAGTTGTAGAAACCCACAGGGGTTTGTTTTACTCGGCCGTTTTAGATCACTATGAGTCACAATCAACTACATGGCAGCGAGTTTTAGCTTTTGGTTTTTGAGTGTCTGGGAACCCAAACTACACACGTCACTCTGGCTATGGATCTGAGAGCCGCGTGCCAGCTTTTCCTTGCTCTTCAGGCATGACTTTGTTAATGAGACATTCGGTGCAGGTCTAGTGAACTCAAGGTTGAGCCAGAGATGTTAGGCCGCTTCTAGGTTGACAGACCATGAGTAAGGACACCGCTGGAGATGATAGGAAACTATTCTGTTTACTTATATTTGTTTGGAAATATCCATCATAATAAGAACTGTGAGCATTTATCCATGCTTTCTTAGGGAGTCCCAATTTCTAAGAACCCATCAACTCTGAAACACTGGGTGCGCTTCAATTCCCTCTTCCCTGTAGGTAGTTCATTGCAAGGGAAGGCATTACAGGTCAGAGATAGTGTGCAAGGGAATTTCTCAAAGATTGGAGTAGAAATAATATATCTCATACACAAATAGAGTACATGTTATATTGATATCTTTTTGTTATTTCCTTTATAAAATTGAGGGTATTTTTCTATGTGAAATTATGGGTCACTGTACCTGTTTCCTAGCTGAAATATAATCATAGTGTTGATCTCATTTTGGAAACCTCTTAAAAGGTAAGTTGTGGGTCACCGTCCATGAAGATCAGTTGCAATTGTTTAGGAGTCGTGCCAAAACTATTTTAGGAAGATAGTTGAGATCATTCCAAGTAAATTAAGTTTTGTTGTGTTGGTTTTTTTTAACCAAACTTCATTAGTTGCCCAAATCAACTTAAAATGCTAGATTCCTTGTCTTGCTAAAGATTATCTTGTCCAATTTTCTCATTGCAAAGATTGAGGAAACTGAGACTAATAATAAAAACCAAGTAAATTGGATAGTTTACGAAGATGGAAATAAAATTTTATTCAGTTTAATCCCTTTTCATTTGATATTGAGACTATTATGAGCTTATTTAAATCTCTGAAACAATTTTCTTTTTATGGTTTAAGCTTTAGCTCTTAATTGACTTTTGTTGAAGAAGAGGAATATGTGTAACCATCCAATAAATACCATTTTTATCAGAATTCTGAAAAATGTCCCATGAATTTGTGGTTGTGTTTTAAACTTAGCATACTCGCATTTTTAAGTGCATTTTCTCTACAAAAGTGGTGTGTGTTCTTTAAATTATAAAGAGGAAAATACAGGGAGAAATGCACAGACCTCTTACCTATATACCACCACTGAATATTGGCAAGAAGGTCTCTGAACGATCGCCAGTCTAACGTGAAACAGACTCATTTCTACATTACTTTTCCCTTCATATCTACAACCATGGCACATCTTTATATTCTCCTTTATTTAATCTAGTAAATGTATGATGAGGCATTTTTATAAACACAATGTAAGCATTATTTGTAATGCTTATGCAATGGACCTTTTTATAGTTATTTTGCTTAGGGTTGTGCGTTTAGCTTGTTTTCAATACTACAAAGAATGCTTTCAAGACTCTTTCTGCTGCGTTCCTGAATGCTGGATATTTCCTTGGCATAGAATCCCAGAAGTGAGTTACTGGGTCTGGGCCTGTGGACCTTAGACTGGTTCTATACTGTAGAATTGCTTCCCCGGTGTCACCTAATGAGGTACAGCACTCCATGCTTTTGGGCGGGTCATTGTTAAATGACTCCGATTCCACCAGAGCACTCCGGAAGTGGATTCGGATCATCTTGAGCTAGGCTCAAGTGCACAATCAAGCCATTGAGTTTCCTGGCCCGCCCACCCCAGGACAGCGCTCTGCTAAAGAAGTAGGGGCTTTCAGGACTTGATGTGGATGATCTGACAGATCCTCATTAAAACGGCCTCCCAAGTTGGGCTTTGAAAAGGACGGCATCTCTGCGATGAGGAATGACAACGTGGACCTCTCATTTAGGGAGAGAAATTCCCCAAATGTCAAACTACCACACTCCCAGTCAACTAGACTCCTCATTATCCAAAACCATTTGTGTTCCTTCAAGGGTTGTGGTAGCTTGTTGCTACACATTTGCACCCGAGTCAGATTGTGGAATCTTGTAGTCATCAAATCAAAATGACCCTGATTATAGAATGGGCATTACAATCATACTAATGACATCGAGCAGGAACATTCAGCCACATGGCATTTAACTGTTTTATATTTTCCAGGCCCCTTTCCAGAACTTGTTCATAAGCCCATGTGCTTTTCATTTTACATTTACAATCAGAGCACAATCATAGTGCAGTTTTTATTCTGCTTCTCCCCGTTAACAGCTAACAATGTTTTTCCCCATGTTGCTATGCAGTTTTCATGATTACCCCCTGCTGGTTGTTGGGGAGTCTTTGGAGGGGGGTTTATGTAACCACTCTCCTATTTTGAGAACTCGTGGGTTTGCAACCTTTCCCACTCTAATAAATATGTGGCACAACATCTTCCCTTATGCATTTATTATCTCGCCTAGTTATGGAATATCCCCTTTCTGAACCTTCTTAGAGGAGGGACCACTAGGTACTGAGTAGAATTGTTTCCATCTAACATGGCTCATGTAGTTGCCGGATTCAACAGACGCCATTTAATAGAAAAACGCATTTCCTCAAAACTCTGCAGCCCCTAAGCAGCTGTGATAGCAAGGACTTCTTGCCAACTTTACCCCCAAGGGGATAGCGCTTAAGTCACCTCAAGTGCTAGCAGGAGATGGAGTGCAGGTAAAGGACCACCCACTAATTAGTTATGCCTTCAGTCTTCTTGCCTGGCAATGTCCTATAGTTGTCTGTGCCATCTAGCTCCAAGGAGCATAAAGTGAAGGAAGGGCCATGCTACCATGGGGACCTTGGACCTAACTCAAAACATTGGGAGAGAGTATTACTGATTTCTGTCTGCCTCTGTGCATCTCCTGAAACATGCCTGTGCAGGGGGATCAATGACCATCTGAAGGCTACCTCTTCTTTTATGATAATGTCCTGGGACTCTCTGTGGTCCTTCCCGGTAACAGAGGACAATTGCATAGCTAACTCTCAATGATATACAGTCTTACCTAGGCTGTATCCTTTCTTGTGTCTAACACCTAGTAAGGGTGAGTCTTGGTGACATTGGGGTTACTCTTTGGGCTGCTCACCTTCTGGTCAGCAGTCCCAAACCACAACTGTTCCTCAGAAGACAGACAAAGCTTTCTACTCCCAGAAGGAGTTATATTGTTGGCAACCCAGACAGGCAGTAGGTCCCTCCTTTAGGGTCACTATGAGTCCCAATCCGCTCAATAGCAGTGAGTGAATACCTCCTAGGATCTCAATTAACGTGGAAAGGATCAGCCATGGAAATGGTCTCCGACATTACCATTATAAGCATATAGGAACTGGGAGACAATAAGCAAGTTTCTTAATGTCTGTGGGGTTCAGTTTCTTTATCTGTAAATTGAACAATAGACTCTTCATCATAGAATTGCTGAATGGATTTGATGAGATAAAATATGTAGAATGTTTAACCAGTTCCTGGCATAGAGTCAACATTCTTATTAACCAGTGGCTTTCATGTAAGCGTGAAGCATTGGAAACAAGTGTTTGAGGTTGTTGTATGCTCTGGCTCACAACAACTTTATGTGTAGCAGAACAAATCATTGCCTGCCTGTGTCATTTTCATGGGCCATTGTTATATTTGAATTCACTCTTGTGGATATTGTATATAAGCACCTGCGTTAGTCTGGGTACATTGGAGAAACAAATCCACAGAAACTCATATGTGGCTTCTCCTCAGGGATGTCTTGCAGGAAGTGAGCCTTGCCGGCTGAAGCATGAAACTGGCTAAGGCAGCTGCACCCTGGTCCGACCATCACAAAGTTGTCACTTGCGTCTTTGAAGCTGTTTGCTTCTTAGAAAACGCTCTTGAATCTGCTGCTTTCCTTAGGAGGCAGCCTTTTTGACAGGTCCACGTCCAGTTAATAAATCGATACTAGGTGCCCCTTTTCCTGCCAGGGTCAGTGAACGTTCTGTCCTGATAGGCTTTTCACACTCACCACCCACAGATCAGGGCAACGGCTTCATTTTTCTTATGAACGTGTTGGTGCAAATACCAGTTCCTGCTTTATTTTTCATTGTAGTTACCCTGTTTGCTTACTGAGGTGGATGTTTCATTACAGTCCAAATATCGGGTCCTGAAAACACAGAGCTTTTTTTTTTTTTAAGCTATGTTTCTGCATTTGCTTTGGAAAGAACTTATGATTTAGCCGCTTATAAATGGCGCTGCACTTTATCCAGGGAAAGTATATACTATATTCATCTTCTCTAGCCATCTCTGTGAGTAGACGTGGTTTTTTATGGGTATACGAGGCAATCAGCAGCATATTTGCAAGAGAAGACACTGCTGTTCCAAGGGCCTGAAGAACTCTTGCAAAGAAAAACACTAGAGAGTGCTGCCTTATTCCTCTGACTGCCGTTTTCCCTCTGCTTAGTGGAAATCGGGAGGCCTTTCCAAATGAAATTAAAATGCCCTTCACACCCACACACAGAGCCTGGCGTACAGCCAAGTAGGGATAGAGAGGGTTGTGTTCCTTAGGGGAGGAAACATTCTTGGTCCTTGGCCAGGCGAGGCAATGGATTCCTTCACTCTCGTGAACTTTAGTCAGAGTCTCAATGTCTCCAGTGTAGGCACACAGGCTCCACACACCCTCAACTGGCGCCACCACGTTAAATCAGTCAGGGATGACTTCTACTGGGACCAGAGAGTAAGCACGGGTGATCTTGCAACCATTCTGCTAAGGGTCTCCTTTGCTCTCCTAGCTTCTCTGTTCCCTACAGCCACATTGAAGAAAGTGTAAGCACACGTGTAGGTCACCAACTGTCCACATGTTTGCCATTGGGGGCAAAGAGTATTTTGCCTTTAAATTACACCTGGCGTAGGTCACACGTACAAGTCATTATGAGCCAAAGGTCTATCCTTGGTGGCCCAAAGAGCAAATGAGTCTCCTAAGGGGAGAACAGTTAAGTACTTCCTCCTTTTTTGTGTCTTGCAGCTTGCAATGTGTGGTACCTGAACTCGGTGGAAATGGAGTCCCTTACTGGCCACCAAGCAGTGCAGAAGGCCCTGAACATCACCTTGGTCCAAGAGCCTCCTGCCATCTCCACTGTGGTCCACTTCAAGGTGTCTGCGCAGGGCATCACACTGACGGACAATCAGAGGAAGTGAGTGTGGAGCTTTTAAGGCAAGAGGGTTTCTGGCCACGTAGTTAAACTGTCTGCTGACGTTTCTCTCGGAAAGAAGAAAATCACTGGTGTTTATTTTGTTTTGGGGTGAGAACCTGAAGGGCCATGCTTTGGGATGGCCACCATCCCCCGCATCAGATCCAGCAGGAGTGGGGCAGTTTAAAAGGAGACCCCGGGAAGATAAACAAGAGAGGCTGAGAGCTCTGAGCACAGCACCTTCTAGTGGCTGCATCAGCAGCGAGGGGGAGGAGGAGAGGAGCCGAAGTTAGGGGCATTTTCCTCCATAAATAACAAGCACAACCTGCTGCCGCTCCACCGAGTGCCTTCACATCCGTGGTTTTGTTTGCTTTGGGCACCAGTCCTGGAAGTGTGGGGAGGGGCCGATGTTGGTATTGTGCTCCTCTCTCTATAGAAGGGGAAACAGGAAGTGGTTTTCCTGGGCTTATCAGTGAACAAATGTCAGGCCAAACCCTGTGGACACCTCACTCATAACCCTTGGTTCTCCACCTGGCTGAGGGCCTTTGGCTTCCTTCTTGCACCCCCATAGTAGTGACAATCGCG